AATGAGACATTTTAAATTTATAGTGTTACTTCAGAAAAATGAGAAAATTTTTAGGTGTATGATTGTCTAATACTTTTCATCCTATCATAATATATATATATATATCTATATATGACGCCTATATGTATGATGCCTTTATATAAAAGTTGAGATTTACATACTTGTATCTAGTATCTGCAATGATAAGGAGAAATAAAACACACTAATAATCAAAAGTGGTTAGCACTAATCAAGGTAGCATGTAAAAATTGAGCTACCTTAGGTGACAGCATCAAACACCAAGAGCAAGTTGGTGGAAGCTGAGGTGGCTGTGGGGACCACAATGCAGCGAGAGAGAAGGTTCGGTAGGGTCCACCGTAAATGCGGCGAGACGCAGCATCGCAAGAGAAGATAGCCTTTTAGGAACCTCTCCACTCATACTCTCTCCTCCCCTGCCTTTTTTTCTCTTTTCTTTTTTTTTTTTTTGTTTTCCTCCTTTTTCTTCGTTTCTAAACATTTTTTAAATGGTTTTTTGGTGCGAGAGTTTTCCCAAATAATTGTGAAATTCGTGAAGCGATGAAGTGGGTCCCACCAACTTCCCCAAGATAGAGGAAGATGATGCTGACCCTCCAAGTGGAGGAGAAAAGGGAAAACCACAGAAAAAAAAAATACAAAAAATATAAAAGGGATAATGGGCTGCCAAGAAATCTACAAAAGAAAAGAAAAAAAAAAAAGAGACATCTATGGGGTGGGGAAAAAAAAAAAAAAAAAATCGACGCTGTCAATGGACCGTACTCCTTTGCTTACCATTGGCTCATATTGAACGCACAAACCTGCAAACACTTTGTAGGCCCCACACCCCAGGAAACGACACCCCGACACCGATTGATTTCCTTCACTATCCAAACACCTCATCTCAATTACTAAGGTAACGTTTAGTATAAGGATTCGTATCCTGATTTAAATTATAATTTATGATTTGTTATAATATTTTTTTTATAAAAAATATACGTAAATTAAAAATAATTTTAATCTCATGATTCTAATCCATGAACTAAACGTCCCCTAAGCTCCTGTTTCGTTTAGTAATTCAAATTTTATTAATTTGAATTTTTTTTATTTGAATAAAAATTTTTAAATTATATAGTTTAAATTGGCGTTTAGATATACAATTAAAATTTTAATCTAAACAGGGAATAAAATTTGAATATATATTTGGTAAATGTGAAAATCAATAGAGTTGACACATTTTTATGATTTAAAAATGATTTAGACGGTTGAATTTTAGAGGGAGGTTAAACTCTAACTTGGACAATTTAACTTAATTCAAATGAAGAATATAATTCGGATTTAGTGCTAACTAAACACGAATTCAAACTGTTCTCAATGTTCAAACTGAGTTGAACTGAATTAAACTAATGAAATAAACGTGAGCTAAATTAATCTCGAATTGTGTATATGAGAGAAAAATATTATAACAAAAAAATTAAATTTAAATTTTTATAATAGAAAATACTACAATAATAAAATTTGAGTTGTGACTGAGTTATGAAAATAACAAGCAGAAAGTTAATTCTAAAGAATCACAAGGTTTTCTTAAATATATATTTTCAAAAATATTGAAAAATCTATCAAATTTTATTAAACTATTATATATTTTTTTATTATGTCATATACGATTATAATTTAATAGTTAAAAATGACTTTGCACTAATAAATATGGATATTTAGACTCAAATTTTTTGCTTAATTTAGTGTCTTAATTGGTTTAACTAATTATATAATGTCACGTTATATACAAAATTTAAATTGCTTTTTGATTAAATTATTTTGTGTTTATCATGAGATGATATGTTATGATTTTATTAATTATACACTAATTAAGACATAAAAAAAAATTAAAGAAAGGATCTGATCCGTATATTTTGCTGAAAATATCCAAATTGGTTGTCAATTTATTGCAAGCTTCCAAACTACAATTGAGTAGCTCCTGTGACATAGGCTACTTATACGGCTCTTTCCGTCCTCCAAAAGCCGCATATCAAACGCACACCGGCACACGCACACGCACTAAGATGTAAGCCAACAGGTCCGGAGCTACTTTTTAGTATTGGTTCTTGGCTCTACATACATACGTACGTACATACATTCATACATACAAAGAAGAACATTTTGTCCAATTGGACGTCATTTTCATTGTTGTAATACACTCTTGTACATGGTTTCGTACTATAGCTGACTTAGAAGGTGAAAACAAATAAGGAAAGTGGAGGTAGTTATAGTATATGAGAGATTTTAAGTTGAGCAATATAGAAAATGCTTGACCTATCTGATCAATATTCATTAGTCTTGATAAGTTGATAGGATTGAGGTGATGTGTTTCATCTCGATCTGAACAGTAGCGGAGTCAGGATTTTATTTTAAATAAGCATAAATTAAAAATATTAAAAACATTTTAATAATATTAACTCTTAATACTATTAACTAGTTTGAAGCAAATGTAATTGCATATTGATTAGTTTATTAAATTTTTTAAAACGTGAAATAAAATTTTAAAGAGAAAAGGGGCAAGTTTTAAAAAAGGTGTTTACCACCTCAACAAAGGCAAATTAATTAGAGAGGGTTACTTGAAAAAATATGCTTAATTAAGGACACATTTGAGAAATATAATTTTAATGGGTTACCTAATTTTTTGGTGAACTCACTTTTGATACAATAAAGATTGTATGAAAAAAATATTTTAAAAGTGACAATTTGAAAAAAATAAAAATGTTAACTAGAGTAAAGTAAAGAATTTAAATTAGGTACATTTAAAAGTATAAGATTTAATAGGGAAAAGACAAACAAACAATAAAAAAAAGCAAAAAGTAAAAAGTAAAAAAAAAGTTAGGATTTTGGTTGAGATATTTAAAAAAAAAAAAAGAATTGTTAATAAAGGAGGCATATGAAAAAAATTTGAAAACTATGGGGGTAAAATCTAAAAACTAAAAATCCCTGCCTCAGCTCCCTCCGCCTCTGGACGTGAGTAGTTATTACAGTATATAATTATCAAGTTTAAAAAAAAATAGTTACAGTTGGTCGTTTCACCCCGTAATTTTTAAAAAAAAAAATACGCATTACATGAGTTGGACTCGAGTTTAGTTGCCCGTTTAATTCGCTGATTCGAGTTTTTAATTCAAGTTGAGATGTGATTTTATGTGAGAGTTTTTTACTGTAGTAAAAAAGTTATATGTGATTGTTTGTGAGAGCTTTTTACTGTAGAAAAACTCGAATAGAAAAACTCGAATTGTAAACTCAAATCAGCGAAATGAACGGGGCTTAGTGCACATACCTTAATGGAAAAATAAATAAATATGTGGGCAAAATGAAGTTCTATGGGGTATAGAAATTAATGTGCAGTTGATCCAAATTCATGTAAGTATTTGACAATGATGCATATTATACGGTAAAGACTAAAGACCCGTGGTCCCAAATGTATGAATTTTTTAGTGGTGAGATTCTAAGCAATACGTCTCTCCTTAGAATAAATCAAAAGAATATAAATGAAACGTCCCCAATTATGCTTGCACCAATTGATATGTTTTATTTTCTACAAAAAAAAAAAAAAACAAAAAACAAAAAAGGAAGAGAGAGAGAGAGAAAGATCAACTGCTCCTTGTTGGGACGTCGGAATGGATTAAGTCAAAAACTAATGAATTAACAATTAAAGAGTTGTGGTTTGGATTGGAATTAGCCCTAATGATAGTCGTTGTGAAAGGCAAATAAAATATTATATTAGAATATTGGCCATGTTATGATTTAGTTCCTACTTAATATTTTGTCATAGAAAATCCATTTCTAGAAAAAATTTCTCGGGCGTTCAACTTTATCCAATTTTGCAGAAGTTACATAACGTGTCCAAACTAAGCTAAACATTCACCAAACCGTAGTAATATGTTTTTTTTTTTTTTTGTTTGCTAATCAGTAATATGGTGTTTTATTCGTGGCCTGTGTTTTTAAAGAATTTCTCTAATATGATTAAATATATAATTTATCAAAAAAATTTTATTTTTCAGCAGTCAAATTTTTATTAAAAATTAGTTATATATATTCAATTTGATATGAATTTAATCAAATTTAATGATTAGAAATTGATCATACCGGTAGACCTGTATATAAGGTTCTTTTTAGAATAAGACTACTTAATAAAATTATTGTATTAAAGCCTCGTTCAGTTTGCGGATTCGAGTTTTTAATTCGGGTTGTGATGAGATTTTATGTGAAAGCTTTTCACTATAGCAAAAAAATTAAATGTGACTTTTTGTGAAAACTTTTAACTGTAGTAACATTGAAATGGGTGAAATGAACGATATCTAAATAAAGTACAAATTCAAACTTAAATAGAAGGAAAAATAAGATAAATACTCTCTTAAAATGTACGAGTCTATATTTTTACCTCTTATTCATAATTAATATCTTCTTAATCAAATAATTACATTAATTAAAATAAATTAATAAAAAATAAGAGGTAAAAATCAAGATAAATTGCACTCTTAAGAGTAACTTTATTTATTTCCTCTGAATCATGTAGAATGATAATATGCATGAAATAAGTTGGAAAAGGTAAATAAATAGTGTCACTTTCCAAATTAGATAAAACTACAGTCACCGTCTACCTTGAGTGATTAGAATATAAATTATGTCTAAAATAGGCATTACTTTCCTGGGAAGGTTTCCTGTGAATTAAAAAAAAAAAAAATTGTAGACACAAAACAATGACTCGGGAGTTGAGATTCTGTTTTGACTCAGCACGCCAACACGTCTGCTATGACTCAGCGCCAACATGTTTTGCAGAGATAGGTTACGGGGAAGTACAAAATGGGTTTTTAAGCGCCAACCTCAAACCCAACTGACCAAATCCTAAATTGATTCTATCATCACCCGTTCATATATTAAAATACGAAAAAAAGTTTTAAAAAAAAAAAGATTAAAAAGAAAAAAAAAAGATAAAGCAAAAATTGAATAAGGATAATAAAGAGAGATAAGAGGAAAAATTAGATTTATTCAAATGTCACGCTAACATAACTAAAGAGTAAATACCAAAAAAGCAAAGAGGTCATAGCTCTGAAGTCTCATATTTCTCTCTTTTCTCCATAAAGACTAAGAAAGAGAGAAATCCTTTCGCCGGTAATGCTACAAAAACTCGCCGGAAAATTCTATTTCCGGAAAAGCCCTTCCCACTAGAAAGGGTTTTAAAAAAAAAAAAGTAAACAGAAAATATTACACGAGACTAATCTCCGCGCGTGAACTTCCGATTCACAAAAATTAAAATTAAAATCAAAATTAAAAAAAAAAAAGATGAGAGGTCTCTATGGCTTTGTTTTTCCCTTTTTCTCTCTCTAGAAGAACAGGTTCAGGAGCTTTTTCTCTCCTCCGTTTGCATTTCGGGGATTATCGGCCAAGCCGCTCTCGAAGCATGTGGTGGTCACGGACTCCTCGGAGATCATCGACGGCGATCCCGGCCGCCGGAGCTCGGCCTTGTTAGGGGCGGTCGGTTTCGCCGGGAAGGCGATCGGCGTCAGGCGGAGGTCGAGATCGGCGTTCTGCCGGAGCTTCTCCGGTTCGTCGGAGCGCTTCCGCTTCGGCGACGACCTCGATCGCGACGTGGAGAATCTAGAGCCGGAACTCGGATCTCGAAGCTTCCAAATGTCCGTACAGGTAACCTCAGCCTCGGAGGCCTCGTCGGACGCCGCCGTCGGGCTTCCTCCGCCGAGGAGCTCCGGCATCGGCCGTAGAGTCCCGCCGCGGAGCACCGTTTCCACCGCCGCCTGGCACACGTGCCAATTCCCCGTCCAGAGCAGCCCGACGGCTCCGTTCACCGGATTCACCGTCCTCCCACACGCTTCGAATAACAGCGATTGAAACAACGCTGAAACAAAGGGAAAAAAACACAACTCAGAAACCGGAAACAAAAACAAGAGAAACAATAAAGAAAATAAAACACATCTTCTAAAACCGTACCAGGTCTCTGAGACTCAGGAACGGCGGAGATGAAGGACATGAGGCCGGCGCGGCCGAAGAACTTGGCGACGAAGACGGTGGCATGGCCTTGGGCATCGGCGGTGTCGATCCACTGCAAGCAAGGCCGCAAAATACACGACTCGCTGCAGCCCTTTCGGAGAACTCGGCATCCATTGCAACTCATCTTTTCCTTCTCTTTCAAGTACTCACCCTTATATGAATATATAGATATACATTAATACCAAGAAGATTTCTCTCTAAAGGAGCAGATTTCTTCGGCCACAAGAAACAGAAATGAATAGAAAGTATGGAACAAACAGAGGAGGAAAAAGAAGAGATTTTTGGAAGAGACTGAAATTAAGCTGGCCAGAAATCTCAGGAGGGAGGTATATATAAAGAAGGGTAGGAGAGAGATGGGGGTGAGTTTAGGTTAAGGTTAACTAGAGTTCGGGGTTAGGTTACTTATAGAAGTAGTGGAAGTGGTGGTGGGTGGGGTGGGGGAATTAGGAAAGGAAAAGCTTTGGGAGAAGAGCATCGCCGTAAGTTATACCATCCACTAATATAAAATGAGCGCATTTTTTTTTTTTATTAATGATGGTGTTTAATATTGATTATGTCTTTAAGCATTTTTCTTCAGAGAATTGTGAGTGTTTTTCTTTGTTTGAGTTTCGTGGCTTTGTGTTGGTTTTGTGTTAAAATTTCTTTCTTTTTCTTATTTCTCAGCATTGTTACTCTTAATTATTTAGATCCATGATTTTTTTTAATAAATTACTCCTTAAACTCATTTTCTTTAACAGTTTTGATCTCTGACCATAAAATGACTAATGTTGTAATGCAATAATGAAATTGAACCGAAACTAATTACATCTTCATGACATAATAGCTTTTTAAGTTTTAGAAAAATCGATGTACAAGTGTAAATTTTTTTGGGGTTTTTAATAGTAATTTTATAATTAATTCCGTAAAACTTTTAATGTATCACTGGCGAATCATAGATTATTTTTGTTAAATTTCATAAATATGTCGCCAACTTTACGTTTAGGGACAAGCAACTGTCACAATAGGCATAATTGGGTGACTAATAATGTTAAGAGTTCAGATATGTTATTTATATTTTTTGTGTCTTATTAACTGTCTTTTATTACTTATTTATCATATTATCTAAATTTAAAATGAATTAAAATTACTTAAATAAATTATGATATATCAAAATTTAATTGAAAAGTCAACCAACCAACGAGACACGAAAATAAAATAGCCCGAAAATAAGATAGCATATATTAATTCTAATGTTAATACTTATATGGGGAATATATATATATATATATATAAATATATATATATATATATAAATATATATATATATATATATTTGTTGTGACGTGGGCAGTGTGGTTGGGTTGTATCATGTATGGGACTATTGTTGGGTTGAGGGGTGAGATTCCAAAGTCTTGGGCGCGAGCGGCTCCGTGTTTCCGCGGATGGATGTCCCTCCACCGTTGGATTCCATTTCAGAATTTCTCTCTCCCATTTATTTTTTACTTTATTTTATATTTTTCGTCTTCTTTTTGTGGATATTGATGGGCCTGCTTTCCTTCTTAACCCTTGTGCGTATGTTTGTGCAATAGTGTTTTGCTTTTTGATATTTTCAAACGTCGCAATTTGCAAAGTCCTCTTGCGTCATATGAATAATAGAATAAGATATGATTTTTTTTTGCTTCGGATTTAGGGAGGGGAAAAGAAAAAAAAAAAAAACAGAAAAGGACGGTTTTGTAAATTATTTGAGCATGGCCATGGCATGCACATGTATTGGGAGGAAAAACCATTTGTATTAGTTTAATGGTAGCGTATTAATTATATTAATACAAGTGGATGAAGGATATATTAATTTAAGGGAGTTAATCATTGATACCTGGGTGCAAGATCAGGAAACACTAGCAATGTAAGCGGGAGTTTTTTTTTTTTTTTTTTTTTTTTAAAGGAAATTAATGAAGGTTTTTCTTTTAATGAAGTTTAATTACACTCTTTTTTTTTTTTAAACATGAAGACCTTTTCCTAGGCCCCAGTCCACAGTTTCTGAAAGTATTTTCTGATTTCAACATAGCTAGAGGTAGGAGATTAAATGCTGCTGAATTCCATTATTTTGAGCTTTTAATTTTTGGAGCTAGTTTTAGGCTTCCTAAACGGGCTACATTTCCAATTTTTTTAGTTATTTGACAAAAAATAATTATGAGTCACAAAAAATACTCGAAAGTGCTGACAGCAAGCACCTTAACGAATAGAAGATAAGTCTCATACTGAAGTTCTCAGTCTTTATTAGTAAATAGTGTTCAACATTATCGATGTCATTATTCCACGACAATAGCAAGCAGCGCCTTACCATTACTAATGATGTTCGGTTGTCATCTTAATTCTCTGGTTATTTTTAAGGTTTTGAGTAGGTTACTTGTTTAAGCATGGATTTTAACGGGAAACGACACAATCGGGTATAGCATAGTATCGTCGTTCAATGCAATAGCTAGGATTAAACAAATAAGGGCAGAAGTGGAGGAGGAGTTGTACAAAGTTGTACCGACAATGAAAACATAATGGGCAGTTGAATTATTGATGTAGTTTTTCTTCTAACTTAGCAGCTAGCTAGCATGTTTAAAATATATAGATCCTTAGCTAGGCAACCCTTTTCTTAAATAATTCAACGAAAAAGAGTATCTTTTGTAACCAACAAATTATCTGAAACCACAACTTTGAATAAATATATTGGTAGATTTAAAGGGTTATCTTCTTCCATTTCCCCATGAAAAAAAAAAAAAAAAAAAAAAAACCCCAACAATCATGGGGTATGGCTTAAGAGGACCCCCCCCCAATTAAAAGCGAAAAAAAAAAAAAAAAAAAAAACTAAAATTGAAGTAGCTAATCAACTTTCAGAACATTCTTTTTTTTTTAGCTTAACTTCTCAAAGCAAACGTTTTATGAATGCTTGGTTGGACAAACTCTCCAGAAGCTTAACCATTTCCTTCACGTGAGACTAGCATTGATGTACAGAGGCTTTTCATTCTAACTTTGTCTTTACTACTTTTTTTTTTTTTTTTAATTATTGCTTTTCTCAAACCAGGACTGGCTGGCAACTAAGAAATATATGATGGAAAACTTCATCATCGCCACGTAAGTATTTGTCGCCACTATAATATCATCACATATTTAATGGAAAATATATTAATATTTGTTATTTCAATCTGGATTTATTATCTTATGTAATGCCCCAATTTAAAGCTGAAAAAAAGTCCACAATATTAAAAAATAAAAAATAAAAAAGCCATTTTTTCCCTTTGATTGACTACCCTAGATCGAATCAATGAACATAGTTTCAAGTTTCAAAGGAAAGAATTTCGACCTCATGGAAGAATCCTTTTTCGTGGAGATGAAGAAAAAATCGATGCCTACGAATTAGGGGAATAATAACATCTAATTATGAAATTTAGCCAAATAATTAATTAAGCTAGAACAAATTAAATGCTTTGGACGGTATCAAAGAAATCTCAAAGTTCATGAAGATCAAACAGCTCCCACAGCTAAATATCATAAACCAAATTATGTTTCAATTTTAAAATCTTAACTAAATTGAATTGGTTAAGAGTTGATATTATTTAAACGGAGTCTACGGCCTTCTCCAACGCACGCCAATACGGCGTGGAAGGCAGTTCCCCAACCGAACTACAATTTTTCACACCATTTTACGTGAATCAGGTGGGGTGAATAGTGGAAACACACATTTGCGTTTCCACTATTCACTCAACACCAAATTTCATATCTTTTTTTTTTTTTTTTTGCTTTTTTAAATTTACAAAAATAAAACAAAATTATATTTTTTTTCTATTGTTACTCCAATTTCTTATTTTTAACATTTTTTTTTCTTTTTTGGTACCAAAAAATGAAAAAACTTTCTTTTATGCCCCATAATATAATTACATAATTTATTATTTTCTATGACTTTGCTAAATAATAAAAGATATGTATTAGATCAATATGTGAAAAAAAAAAATTGGACATAATTGGTGAAATAGATAAATCGTAGGGAATTAATAAAAAGGAATATAAAAAGAGAGATAAAAAAGAATATAAATGAAATATTCAATTTTTGCCGTTAAAAATGGGGTAATGGGTTGTAGATGAATTTACTGTTTGAAGTGGAAGTTACACTATTTTAGTACCAAAGTTACAGCATTTGGTGTTATGGGTTGGACATGCTCTAAAGACCCAAAACCAAGATTTCTTTTTCATCTGGGTTCAAAATGATGTGCAAAACATTTTTTTTTTTTTTTTTTAAGAAAGAATGATGCATAAAATAATAACAAATATTTTTAATCATGCGTCCCACGAATAACAAAAATGACTTTGTATCATTTTATTAGAAATACAATATTAGAAGACATAACGACCCCCACCTTGTTTATGGGTTTAATCTCCGTGCCAATTTATAGCTACATGTGGGTGGCAGATTAGGGATTTAGGGGAATTACCCGGACCAACCCGCCATTCCTTATAGATAAATAAATAAAAACAGTCCGACTTCAAGGTCTGTTTAGTTCGTTGATTCAAATTTTTAATTTAAATTGATATATGATTTTATGTGAAAATTTTTTACTGTAACAAAAAAGTTAGATTTGATTATTTCTTAAAATTTATTACTGTAACAAAACTCAAATCGGTCAAATATATCTATATTTGAAGAACAAAACTTGAGGTTTGAGAATAAATCACACTCAAGAGAACCTTCTTTCTTCTCTCCCTTGGCAGCAATGCCTCTCTTGCCACTGCAAGTCTCTTCGCCCCTTGCCTCCAGTCACCACCATCACGTAGTCCGTCATAACTCGTTGCTCTGCACCGCTGCCACAGGCACACCATTGCATGTCCTATCCTCCCATTGTTGTCTTCTTACCGTGCCAAACTATCTACTCACTAGTTCCCACTTTTTTTTATGTTGTATTGACGTGTTGAATTATAACGAGGTGATAATATTCGGAAAAAAATTAAAAATATCACTCAAAATGATAAAAAAATATTATTTATATCATTTCACTAAAAAATATTTATATTGTTTATACGACTCAAGGTGTTTATATTATTTATTAGACTCTACGAATGCTTATACCTTTTTAATTTGATGCATTCAAAATCAGATTCTATTAATCAGAATACTTTACGGTAAAAAGTTCCTAACTTATATTACTAAAATATTTAAAACTCATTTGAAAGTTACATTCAAACTATAATATTTAATTCTCAAGTTTAAAATTTAAATTTTTTATTAAAAAAAATACTGAATTAATAATATAACTTTAAATATACGAAATAAACAGGTTAGTTTTATTTTTCCTACCAGAATGATACGCCACGACCACCACCAAGGCATTAACAACATGACCAATGCCCACCAAAGAACATGCAGAACGGCTAAAGGTTTTAGT